GCCTTTTGTATCTATGCTTCTTTTTCTATGTCTGCTTCTGTCTCCTTGAACCCCGGTCGGCCTCAGCAGATGGCCGCTCACACTGAGCCTGGTTCTGCTGGAGGTTACTTCCTGTTAAAAGGGAGTTTTTCCTCTCCACTGTCGCTACAAGCATGCTTGGTGTCAGGGATTGCTGAAGAGTCAATGAGTTGGTGAGGTCAGCAGGTTTTCCTTAGAAAACCTTGAATCAGTCTGACATTATCTGGTTGAAACGTCTTTTTAAAGTTCCTTATGATAACGTGTGTTGTGAATTGGCGCTATAGAAATAAACCGAATTGATTTGATGGTGAGGTCATAAAATCTGAGTGACTTAAAGTAAATGAGTCGGGGTTTTACCATAACTACGAGGAATAGAAACTTTACTTTGGACGACAAACTCAGATCACACTGGCTTTGCTTACTTAAAGCTGTTCCTAAGTTTCTCCATATTTATTGACATTTAAACAAACTACATTTGTAGTTCGTCTGACTTCTTCCTGTATTTTGCTATGTTTAACGGTTTTTATTTAACCTGACTGAGTAAAGAAGCCAAGCAAAGCTGGTTGTTTGAGCTTTTATAATCTAAATTCAATGTGCTTTGAATTACACTGCAAAAAATTAAAATCTAAATAAGTAATGTTTTCTTAAAATAGGTGTTTGTCTTGAATTGAGGAGGTAAAACAGACATTTTACCAATGGAACAAGGCAATTTACACTTAGAATAAGAAAACACAATTGCATTGTCTTATTTCAAGTGCATAATTATCTAATTATCTTATTTTAAGAGTAAAAATACTCATTCCATTGGCAAATCATCCCAATTAACTACTAAAATTAAGGGTGAATACACTTGATTTAGGGCATTTGAACTTATTTCTAGATAATTTTTGCAGTGTAAAGCATTCTACTAAAATCTGTGTCTGGATGTTTGGCTTTGATCTTTGTCCCTAGTGGAGCAAAACAATCCCACAGCATGATGCTTCCACCACATCCCACGATGGTGTGAAGCCTTAGTTTTCAAACAGAGAGAAAATCCTTGTATAGTTGATGCATTAGGTTTTATAAATGCTACCTAACAGACTGCATTTTCTCTCTGGCATGTTGCCGGAAGAACGGCAGTCATTGTTTTTTCTATTGATGAGCACATTGGTGTTCCTAATATTTAAATGCAATCTTCAGTAACGTTATCACATCAGGAAATGTGCATGCTTAGACTGGAAGGACTGAAATTTCAGGTTATTGTCTAAACAATAAAAAAAAATTGCCTTTATTTTTGGGAGCCAAGTTGCATTAAATCTAATCAGGATTAAATCAGTAGCCAATTTTTAAAAGCTGAACTTAGCAGATAAGCGAACTAATTGTTTGGAGGTGGCTTGCAACAGATCCTATTATCACCTCTTATTATCCACAGAACTATTTTATAATTACAAATCATTTTTAATAGGAAGTTATATTAGGGAAAACTGAGCTGATCACTGTATTGTTCATAGTTTTTCATCCCAAAAAATATACAAAACTACATTGCCGCAGTTCAACAAAGTACCACAAAATGTTTAAAAGCTGTTGAAATGAGTTCCAAACTAATGCTAATCTATTAGAAGCATTTTGTCTCAATCACTCGGTACATATTGTGTGGCTACTTTCTACAGTATGATGATGCATTAATGTTTTAGAGTATCAAAACTGTAAAATCTTATATTCAAACCTCCAATTTGGCATCATTTTAACGATATGCAAGATAAAGAACAAGATGGACCAGAGTTTCCCTTCCCTGTGTAGAAGCTGTAGTAATGAGGGCGGCAGTGGCGTTGGATGCTAGCCTGGGTGCCATTCCGAACTTAGTCCCGCCCACAAGGTTTGAGGTCGGGAAGTTCGGTCTGGCATTGCTCAATAGTAGCGGGAGTATGCTAGCACAATATCT